ACACGGAGAGAGATAAAGAAAGAGATTGTGGGGGGGGGGTGGAGAGAAGGGTCATCACATGGACAGACGTTGGTCAGATGGAGAATGGAGGAGAAATAGGGGGGAAAGGGAGGGCAGGGTAGAGACAGGGAGAGAGAAAGACACAGAGAGACAGAGACAGAGAAAGATAGAGAAAGACAGACAGAAAGAGAGAGAGAGATGAGTCAGGTTGGCAGAGGTGAGGAGAGATGGGTAAGACGGAGACTGTGTGAAAGGACATGAAAACAGACGGCGACAGGCGTGAAGTGATCTGAAGAAACATCCAGCTTTCTAGTTTCAGTTCAGTACGAGTTATACGGCACTCACAATTAACTACATACGGTCATGTGAGTTTGCAGGGTTTCATTGTACCACGAACCACTTTTGGGAGGGAGGAAAAAACAACTCGTTAGACAAGACATCATTTCGATGGCTGGGTGCAAGACTTTGACAAATGCCAAACTGCATACTAGAAACGGCATTTGTTGGAGACTATCATACAGCACTTCATTAACAACCCCCATCCCCTTTCCCAATGGTTACCCCGCCCCTAATACTGACTATACAGATCTTGATCTCCACAACAGGTAAGAAAGAGACTAGCAGCCTGGTCCCAAAAAGCACTTTCAACATATTATGGACTAATTCCACGAGGGCTGGAGCCCCTCACCTCTCTCAGTTGATGGGTCCGGGAGAAGTCCACTCGCTTGGGACTGTCCTCTCTCATGCCATGCTGCCGCTGCTGCTGTTGCTGCGTTTCTCGACCCCGTGCTGACGACCTTGACCCAGGCTCGCTGTTGCGGTGACTCCCTCGTTTGCCAGACTGACCACTGTCCTCATCGTTATGCTTGTCTTCTGAGGACCAAAACGGTACAACTTTTTGATTGACAAAAATTTATTAATTTACAAATGAAAATATTTATAGTCTGCCCCACGAGGAAAGACATTGGGCAAATCTTTTTGAGAACCAAGAAGATTATTTCTTTAAGAGAAAGTGTAAAGTTCCGAAAAGTTAATACATGATTTCTTTTTTTTTAAATTGCTTTCCTGGGAAAAGGATGTGTTAACTAAACTGTTTACACTTTTAAAAGTGGCAAGATGAATCAACCAAATAATTTATGGTTTGAGATAGAGAAGGAGACGGTGAGATGGGGGGGGGGGGGTGGACAGAAGACCGAAAGAGAGAGAGAGAGGAGAGAGAGAGAGAGAGAGAGAGAGAGAGAGAGAGAGAGAGAGAAGACAGGCAGGCAGGCAGACAGGCAGACAGGCAGGCAGGCAGGCAGACAGGCAGGCAGATAGGCAGGCAGGCAGATAGGCAGGCAGACAGACAGATAGACAGGCAGGCAGGCAGACAGACAGACAGACAGACAGAAACAACAGAAGTAAAGAAGCAAGCTCCCTCCAACCACCCGCAGTCAGTCCGGGTACTTACCGAGTCGACACAGCTTCCGGCGCGCTCCGGGGCCGGGGGACTGCTGGGAGCTCTCAGTGCTCTGTGGGAGAGAGAAGTAAAAAAGCTGTGTCAGGCTTTTTCTAGTTAAAAGTCGTGAGTTTTACGGCACTTGCAACACAGTCAGGTCTTATAAGTGCCGAAAATAAAGGGTATACCTAGAGAGTGACAAACAAACAAAAAAGTTTTTTTAAAGTTTTTTTAAGCAAGTGTTTTTCAGCCTTGGCAACAAAGTAAGGGGATATAAGAACGAACATTAGAGGTGTTACAAGAGAGTAACAAACACAAAAAAAGAACGATAGACGTTTGATAGGAAAGAGGGAGCAAACCACACCAGAGCACCCGCCAACTACCCGCTTTTAGTAAGAGTTTTACGGCACTTACAACACAGTTCATATAAGAACCCAAGATAAAAAGTGTTTCTTGAATGTAACCTACAGTGTATTTAAAAAAAAAAAACAAGGAAGGGGGATATGGAAAACAAATGTCTTATAGTTCTAGTAAGAGTTATACGGCACTTGCAACAATATGGTCATATAAGGGCCGAAGATTAGAGCTGTTACAAGAGAGTAACAAACACAAAAAAGGACGAGAGGTCGGGACGATAGACTTAGGTTTGATAAGAAAGAAGGGGTAAACCATACCAGAATACCCGCCAACCACCACCAGTGTGCCAGGATAGTGGGCGATTGGAGACAGGATCATGGGGCGTTGCGCCATATCATGATGGGGAACGACAGAGAGACGAGGTATTAATACAGTCTACCCGGGCAAAAAGGAGGGCGGGTGCATAAACGGTGAATTTGAACAATCGACAGGCAGAGAAAGGGGCACTGTATACTAGGACAATGGACTGAGCTGGGAGAGACAGAGTATTGGAACAATCGATATGTGAGGACAAGATAGTGAACGAGGAGAATCAGCATGGGGGTGGGGCCGCAGGGGTGGGGGGCGGGAGGTGGAGGCATGTGAACATGCAATAGACCTAGTGAGGAGTTAAGACAGTCAACAGAAGTATAGACACACTATATTATTAAGGATTGGCGACAAATGAGAGAGAGCGGAATGGGGAAGAGAGGAAGAGATGGGAGAGGGGGGGGAGGGAGGG